TTTTTCTAAGGAGCTTCTACATCTCTACAGAAGGTCAGCAAGCATCTCGCATGGTTTTCGTGTCTTTTGGTTTAGAGCTTCTGGTTTGGAGAGACTCAGCTATATGTGGTGCTGTGTGGGGCCAAGGGTTGGAGATCCTTATGGGGCATTTCCAACTCGGGATATTCTGATTTATGATTCTATCTGTTTTGCTTTCTTGCCACTCTCCTCACATGAAAAGGGAGATGCACCCCCTGCACCCTCTCAACACAAAAAAGAAATTGTTTGGCAAAGCTTCCCATCCTTAATAGCTGTTTGCTTGTAGGAGAAGTTTGAAAGGAAATTTTCCTGCAATTGCAGTAATTGTTGAGTGAGTTTTATTCAACTATCAATGCAATCTTCTAGGGTTAAATTGAGATAGCTTTCGGGGGCATTTTAAGAGACAGCAGCATGAAATAATGAGAAACAGAGTTCATAACACAGATGAAATTCATGCAGCTTCTAGTGAAGACAGCCTGCGTTGATTATGGGGTCAAACAGGTGAGGCACAGAGAAAAATTAAAGGCCTGAAGCCTGCCAGATTGCAGGGGATAGACTGAAATGAAGGGACAGGCAGCATGCAGAAACAAGAGGCTTTTGTAAGAGGAGGGAGACATGGGGGGCTGGGAGAAGGGCGTGGGGTGTGAACCCACTGCTCAGGGCTGCACTAGGGGAGGGTTAGATTGGACAATGGGAAGAATCTCTTCACAGAGGGGGTGGTCAGGGATTGGAAGGGGCTGCCTGTGCAGAGTGCAACACAGACCTGCACGTAGTTATCCAAGGGTCAGGCTTGAGGCCACCACTGTTATTTTGGTCTCGACCCACATGATAGAGACACGCTGGGTGGTGCAATTGTCATGAGGCTTCTCCAGTTTTGATGCCCCAAGTTGCTTAACTCTTGTTAAGAATGGTGTTTGTAATGCAGCCAGAGGCAGAAACCCAGCTCTTCCCAGCCAGGAGCACATGCAGATCCTTGACCATATCTCAGAAGGTATGAAATCCCTCCAGAGCAAGTCACCATTTCTGTTCACCCTCATAGCAATGCATTGACTTGATGTGCTGCTGTCACAAAGCCCTGGCAACTCACACTCAGCCCCTGGCAAGCTGGGAGTTTGCCTCCATCTCTGAACTCACATCCAGCCTGAGTTAGATTATCCCAATGTCACTTTTAACCCAATCCCTCAATGAGTGCACAATATCAGTGTGAGATATCCCAAGAAGCGGTGCTCAGGAGCAAGGCACATTCTTAATTTATGTTTCTCTGTCATCAGCTCTCCCCAGCATGTCCTTAAAGAACATTTCTGCATCTTCAAGGAGATGCATGCAATCAAATCTCCTTGTCCACATGCAAGCATGCCTCTTGCATCAGATTTCTTCTTAAAGATTTCCACTCTCTGATCACAGCTGATATAATCCAAGACAATGGCAGATACTTTGGGCTATTATATTAAATTCAGCCTATTTTGAAGCCAAACCACGCTCACCCCACTGCCACTGGTAGCGAGTTCATGCTGGTGGACCTGGGATCACTGCTGACACATTCTGATGGAGTTGATTTCCTTGCAGGACATGGAGCAGACAGTGGTCCCAGGCAGCTCCCTGGGGGATAACCGTCCCACCTACATCTACAAGATGGTCCTGCTGGGAAGCACATCAGTGGGAAAGTCAAGCCTTGCCTACAGATACGTGAAAAATGAATTCAAGGAGTCGCTGCCTACTGTAGGATGTGAGTGAGCTGCTTCAATCCATTTCCTTCTGCCTTGTGCTGTGAGCAAAGCCACATCCAAACCACAGAGGATTGATTTACTTCTGCTTGTTGGAGGCAGCTTAGCAGCAAAATAAGGGAACCTGGGTTCCAAATCATACAGTCCCATCTGCCTTTTGCATGTTTGCTCCCTTACCTGTTCAGACACCTCAGAAGTGTCTCCTCAAGGTTCTTTGCCCAGGTGTGGGTCAGGAGCACACTGGGGCAAACCTCTTCCCCACCATCCTGCTCTGCCCAGCCATGCTGAGCCACCCCAGGCAGGGCATACATCAAAACTTGTGTGTCTACCCAAAGCTGCCAAAAAGAAGGGCCACCAGCCCTGCTTGGTGACATGCTGTCTCTTCAAGTGTTGCCCATCACCAGTACATGGCCATGCTGTGAAACTCTTCAGGTTCAAATAGCCCTATTAGAAATTGCTGGGATCTCCTACCCTACTGTCATTCACAGCAGCTGTGACAGCAGTGGGCAATCAAGACAGACATCTCCATGTCAAACTCCACACAGCACCACGTGAGCTGATTGGCTCAGGGTGCTTTTGAGAAACCCATCCAGCTTTGTGCATTGCAGCATTGTCACTACTCCTCAAAGGGGCTTTGATCCTACAGCAGCAGACCAGAGCTCTCCACCACATATCTTGCAGGCTCCTTCTTCACACAGACAATCCAACTAGAGACAGCCACCATCAAACTGGAGATCTGGGACACGGCTGGCCAGGAGAAGTACCACAGTGTCTGCCACCTCTACTACCGTGGTGCCCATGCTGCACTCCTAGTTTATGACCTCACTAACAAGGTGAGATGGTGGATGCACATCCTGTCCAAGTCAAAACACTGCTATGTGGCAGTGGAGCTGATGGGAGAAGCATCCGGATATATCCCTGATCACAAACCCTAAGCAAATAAATGTCCCACTGGGATGCATCAGCAACCACAGAGCCCAGGGGTTCCTATCAAAGCTTTCCTGTATCTGAATCATGAGTGGCTGTCCCTTTCTCCCCAGGAAACACTCAACAGAGCGAAGCAGTGGCTGATGGAACTGGAGAAGGAGTTCCTTCCTGATGAAATTGTCATTGCTTTGGTGGGCAACAAGACAGACCTGGCTGATGAACGGGAGGTTGCGGCTGAGGTGAGCACACATCATGTCCCCACTGCAAGCATTAAGACACATCTTAGCAGAGCCTTTTCTTCCCAAGTGGAGACCCTCCACCTGCTCTGCCAGGTGGTCTCCCCATTGCTGGGTGGCATGCAGGAGCCCTGCCTTGTCCCCATGGGTCCCCAGGGCCACACTGTCCCTTGGCACAGGGGAAACAATACTGCTTTTCTCCTCCTAGGATGGGGAAGAGTTTGCAAGGAGCAGAAGCCTGCTCTTCATGGAGACGTCTGCAAAATCCAACCACCAAGTAAACGACATCTTTGTGGCCGTAGGTAAGGTGTGGGGTGGCTCCAGGTGAGAACCAAAGCAGGGGAACCGTGGGTCCTGGCTCCCCCAAACCTCCTGTGCAACATGGGGCACAGCAGAGCTGCTCTGTCCCCAGTCTGATGCCACGTTATCACACTGGGAACCAGTGTGAGTGTTCTGTTTACCTCTTGCTATAAGAAGAATATTTGGAGAATACAATGGGCTCTTCTTGCCTATGCTTCCAGGCTACAGATGCCTTCTCCCCAAAGCCCAGCTTGCCAGCAAGGGCCACTTTGCAGCTTATGTCCCTCCTGCTAGGCTGGAGGAGGCAGTAGCTGTGGTGACACAGCACCACATGACCTAGGACAGACAGCTCCATGCCAAGATGCAGCATGAGAGGTGGAGAGATCAAAGCCAGTATGTTTTTTGGGTTTAGTACCTGACCTGGGCGTACATACCCGACCTGACCTGTGGCCCCATCACATCTGTCCTCCAAGTGACATCACCATGCTGGCTAGAAGTTGCTGGGAAGTACCTACATGGCACCAGTAGGGTGGGACAGTGCAGCAGGTGCATCCCAACATGCATTGGCTGACCCCATGCCCTGGCAAGACAGGTGATGCTCTGTGGCTTTGTGCTCCCCGTCAGCCCGAGAGCTCCTGCGGCGTGAAGGTGAGAAGGCAGTTGTCCCATCCACGAGTGGAAGGCAGCGTTTGGACCTGCAGGCAAGCGGGACGAGGAGGGGGTGCTGCCGTGTCTGAGGGGCCACGGGCTCCCACAGGATGTGGAACTGGACCTTGTGCTATTGGCATTGGTGGCCAAGGGGTGACAGACAACACAGCAGATATAGCTGACAGCCAATGTGGAGCAATGATCCTTCTGCCCATCTTCTGCCAGTGAATGCATGGAGTGCATGCAGACCCGCAATAGGGTCTCATGATGATGTTCTCCCAGAGGTGAGTGGGGATGTCCCCTGCCAAGAAGCAGCCCGGCTGGGGACATTCCCCTGCCCCAGCCATGCATCAGCTCCCCCAGACTCAAGAGAGTTTGGCTTGTGGAGCACATCCCAACAACTTCAAGAGTTGACTGCCAATAAAGAGCAGCTCATCTTAGCCACATCCTTTTCTCTGCCCTGGGTGCCGATATACAGGAGGTCTGGAGATGGTGAGGACCAGAGTGTGGCAGCGTAGCCCCCATCAGCCACTCCAGTTGTCAGGAAGAGTTCTGGTTCCTATGGCCAGGAATCTCTCCCCTCTTGCCCCCCATACACCACCACCCTCTGCAACACCTGCCCAGCACTGAGACATGTGGGATGGGGGAATCCTTCCCAGCTTCTTCCTCCTCCTGCCTAAATCCCCCCTGTTAATTGGGCAGCTAATATGATAGCAGCTAATTGCCACTTGCCTCATCCCTCCCAGATTAACCCTTCCTTCTCTAGGCAGTTCTGATCCCTGCTGTCCATCCTTAGCTTGCATTCAGGATCCACATCATCCTCACTCCAAACTGGGGAATGGGTAAAGCAATTGAGACTTGTGAGTGGGGTGTCACAGGGTGAGTGATGGCCTCTGACCCATGCCATGAAAACAGGGCTCTGTGGTGATGTGGGGGGCTTGGTGCTGTCAGGGTTGCTGACACTCTGTGGGGATCCCATAGGATTCTCTTGTAGAAAGAGAGGAGAGCCCCAGAGCTTAATTTTAGGTGATACCACCATCGCTAGGTCTCATGCCCTGTCCCACCCCAACCCCCCCAAGCACTGGATTTTGGAGTAGAGACTCAGGGCCAGGTAGGAGGAGAGGAAAAAGGGCTTTTATTGGTGTTCCCCCATCTTCAACTCAGGCACTTCGCTGCTCCCGCGGGGGCTGGGTGTGCGGGGGGATGCAGGCAGGATGCAGGACAGCCCCCCTGGGTTGGGCACTTTCCCCCAGTGCTCGCCGTCGCCCGAATCGCCCCACGGGCCTGATGCCACGGCCAGTGTACCAGGAGGGGTCGATGTCTGGGTCTGCAAAAAGAAAGGCGAGGAACAGTCATGGCTGTGAGGCACAGCACGTGGGGAAGAAAGAAAGGGACCCAGGGGAGAGAGAGGAGTGCTCGGGGCTGCCTGCTGGGCTGCTGCAAAGCAACGCTGCTCCAACCTATGGGGGGACCAGGGAGGGTCCTGGGGGTTCCCTTACTCCTGCTCTCCTTACTCCTGATTTCCATGGAGCGCTCACGGAGGCGGCCGGCAGCGGGCAGAGCCATGCAGGTGAGCAGCAAGCACAGCAGGCAGGTGGCCCCTAGCTTCATCCCCGAGGCTTTCCCACGACAGCGGCTCGGCAACGGCGACAATCCCAACCTGCGGGCACACATACAGGGCAGTCGCGTTCTGAGGGTGTCACGAAACCGGCGGCTTCCCTTGGCTAGACCCTGATCGGGTTGGTAGGGAAGTGATGGAGAAAGCGCGTCCCCGCCGTGGGAACGCCATCGGGGAACGCCATCCCCATCCGGATCCCATCGCAGCATCCCCGGACCGGCGGCAGGCTCACTCCCAAGAGGTAGGAGGAGGTGAAGTTTGCAGCAACCCCACCTGCAGCCGAAGCCGTCGGCTCGGGGAAGCAGCCGTGAGAGCCCACGCCGCGCTCCCTTCGCCCCCCGCTTACCTCGGTCCCGCAGCGCCCGGTGCCGTCCCGCGGAGCCCAGCACTCTCCCTCTGCGCCCCGGGGCGCCGCTCGCCGCTTTTATGCCCGGTTCCGTGCTGATGTCAGAAACGAGCCCCGGCGGGGACAGAGCCGAGACATCTCCCCTCCCCGCCGCCCCCCGCGCTCGCTCTCGTCAAATCAGGAAAGGGATTTTCGTGACTCATAGAGGGCCATAATTTTATCTCCAGCCGACCGAGGCACATCGCTCGGGAGCGTTCTGATCTCCGTCCTCGACGTGACGCTGTTCGGGACGAGGGGAAGAATTCCACCCGTGCTGGGGGCGGGAGGCGTTGGGAGAGATGCAGTCCCTGCCCGGACGAGCGGGCGTACGGCCACCTCCAAGCATCCCCTGCTCCGTGGGGCTGGAGCAGCAGCTGGGTACCCTTAACCGTGCTCACCCCGAGCAGTGCTGCATTGCTTCTCGTGCTGCCCTCCAGCGAGGGGGCACAGCTGGGACAGCCGACCCCATATGGCCAAAAGGGCGTCCCGTGCAAGGGGCTGCGTGGGGGCAGGGTTTAACCACAGCACCTGGGCAAAGGGGAGGGCAGGGAGACAAAGCATCCTTAGCTGCAGCATGTTGAAGGAAGACAATGTGAAATAAACCTATGGGTTCTGGACCCTATGTTGGCTTTATTGTGTGATGTAGTGTACATATATAACCTCTACGCAGACCAGCAAATATTAATGTGGATAACTACAACCTGAACAATGCTTTATTTGTACGCTGCTGAGACTCACTGGGAGGGCTTCAGAGGGTCAAGAGTCTGCCTGACCACCTGAAAGGACTTGGCTTACTGATGAAACCGGGTACAGCAAGAGGTGTGTGGGGTGAGTGCTGAACCATAGCCCCAGAGCAAACCCACAGCGTTGCCCAAGAGCTCAATGGAGCTCTGCAAGGATTTGTGCTCATCAGCTGCAAACCAGCACAGTGCAGAGCCCCCATGGGTCCTCCAGGGAGAGTGGATGAGTGTGTGTACCATCAACTGCTTGCAATATGGGGAGAGCGAAAGCAGTTGCTCTGCAACGAATGTGGCTCTTTCCCCATTTGAACTTTAGGCCACAAGGATTTCACTTTAAAAAATGAAAACTGGTTTTGTTTCATCGATGGTAGGTAGGTTTCCAGCCTCCAGCCTCACACCCCTGCTCGAGGATGACTGCAGGAAATGCCTAGATAGTGAGTTCTCTGCTACGACTGAAGCTAAACCTTACAAATTCATACTGGGGTCAAGGCAGATACTGAGCTGAAGTTTTTAACAAAAATCTCCCCCCCAGTCTCCAGTTAGTGGAAGCAGAAGGTGGAGGAAAACAGGGTGAGTGGGAGGGTGCTAGCAGTGCTGTTGCTGCCTTCTAGGAGCTCAGGGCCAGTGCAGCCTCTAGGGGACACAGGCACACCTCCAGGGGATCTCTCTGCAGACTGGGGAGAGCTTGGGGCTGGGTTCCTTCTGAGCCTGCTGATGGAACCTTGCAGGGAAAGAAGGCACTTCTGGTCAGATTGACCCCAAGCCCTCTCTTCCCACTGGTCCTGTGAAAGCTGTTGCCTCTTCCCACAAGCCTCACCTCACTCCTGCCCCCACATTAGCCCAGCTGCTTCAGGCAAGAAGCCTCAGCATGTACCTACTGGGTTTAGTGAAAAGAGTCATTGGCCAAGAGCTTGCTGGGAGCAATGCAGTGCAGCTCCCACGCAGGAAAAGGAAGCGATGCCCCACAGATGAGGCAGGACCAGTGCTGGGCTGCACATCTGGCCCTGGGACACTGTGCTTTACCATAGGGACCCTTCCTCCGGCACCACCACCAGTGGTTCCCACAGTGTCCCTAGTGGAAGGGACAAGGAGAGCAGCATCCTGCCCAAACAGATGTGGTCCTCATGATTATCCAGCCATATGTCTGCACTCCAGCAACTTGCTCCTCTCTCTTCCAGCTTCCAGGGGGATGTGGCCACGGGAGAAGGAAGGGCAAGCACTGGGGGAAGGCTGTGTGCCGAGGTCCTGCACTGTCACTGAAATGCAGTGGTGGGTGTCTTCAGGACAAGTGGGTCATCACTGGCTTCTGCGAGGCATGAGAGGTAAGGTATCAGCACTGCTGTCCCCTGCCCCATGTGACATGGACAGCATATTCCCTGTCCCTCCTGGGGCTCTGTGGGTTGGAGGGGAGCACTGGAGGATGGGGTACCACTGCCAGCCCGGCCACGTACCGCAAAGAGACGCTCCACTCTCCTGTTCTTCCCATTGGGGTTCCTCTGCGTCAGCGAGCCGCGGTAAACCGAGTTGCGGTCAAAGGAGTCATCAAAACCTTTAATGGAAGAAGAGGCATGAAGTGAGGCTGGGTAATGCTCCAGCTCATGCAGAGGGGATTAGGCTTGCCCAGTGACGTCTGGCTTGATGGAGCATCCCTCTATCTTCTTTGCAGGACTGACGTGTCCTCGAGGCTGCCTTTATCCACCTGCCCTTTGCCATAGGAGAGTGGATGACTGAGGGGACCTTTCCACCTACCAGCCTCCGCCTGGGAAGCAGAGCTTTTAATTGTCTGCTCACATGGGGAAACGCAATTCCTTCTTTGCATTAAGTGATCTTTCCCCTCCTTTCCTCCACTCATCTTCTATTTGGCATTATCTGGAAGGAGAACCATTCCTTCTGCCTGTAAGCGCACAAGGCAAGATAATGGAAATAGAAAAGTCATTTCCTAATGGCATTTGCTGATATCTGTCAGGACGAAACTTTTCCTGTGATTGCCCTCTGCCACATGGGCTGCTGGGCTGAGTTTCAGGTCACAGCCTACCTTGAAGCATTTCCAAGCTGCCATTTTCCATGGCTTGGCTCTCAACCTCCCAGTGGGACCAGTGGCAGAGATGGGCAAATAGCAGGGCAAAGGATACCCTCCCCAGGGGAATCAGTGAGAAGTGGCTAAGGAATGAAGCTTAGATAGGGTGTTGAGGGCTAGTTTTGAAGGCAGAGCAATGGCCCTTGGGGCAGGCGGTTGTCTGCCATCAAGACCCATATGGCAGCCACCTCATCCTGTCCCCAGCACTGACCCTGATCCTCCACCACAGATGAGGTCTCCTCTGTGGCTGTGCTGGCAGGACACAAGCACAGGGAACAGAATTCCAAAAAGGGAGAAAAACAGGGAGAGAGAGAGATAGAGATGACCGAGCATCTCATGAACTGAGGTCATCCCACAGACAGAGCCACAGTTCTTACCAGTGATTTCAAAGGGACTGTTGAACCTCCTCCTAAGGACCTGGGGCCCAGACATTGCCTGCAAGAGAGGGAAAGCAGTCTGTGGTGGGTGGGAGGACACAGGTGCCTCCAGAGGATACCCTGCTGCCCTTGCTGAGCATTCAAACCCACATCCTGGAACATGGGATTAAGGCTTATTAAACACATGCTAAACACACACCCACCTTAACATCATCCAAAGGCTCCCCTGGACTGCTGGTGGGGTTGGGGGAGCAGAGGTGGAAGGCCTGCAGACAGAGAAGGAGCACAGGTCTCTGGGTTTGCTTCACCCCAAAGCAGCCCCCCATCTCATCCTCAGTGAGGCTCAGAGCAGCTGGGAAGGAGCTGGGAGCAGCCAGGGAGCCATCCCTGTGCTCACAACCCCTCTCCTCCCTGCTCACCTGCCCATTCGATTTCTTCCTTGCCTTTTCCACCGGCTTCACCGTCAGCCCCGCAGCAGACAGAGCCGCGATTCGAGATTCGATATCCGATATCTTCAAAGGGAGGGAAACAAAACAGGTGGGCAGCGCGTGGAAGACTCCCAACCAGCTTTGTTAGCTGGGCTGGAGGTGAAGTAGCTCCTAATGAGCCCTTACCTCGCTCTCTGCCTGCTGTACCTGTGCAGCTGCCGAAGCCACTTTGTCCTCCAGCTCCGACAGCTCTGAGTCTGTTGTGCCGCAGTGCCGAGCCCCTTCCTCAAGCTCTGACAGGGTTGTCTCCAGCTGATAGGCCTTCCCAGCAGCCAGGTAGACCTGGAATAAAAATAAAATTAAAAAAAAGAATAGATCACACCATTAAGCTTCCTGCTTGCTCTTCCCCTTCGTGTGACCACAGCCCCTGCTGCTCTTCTCCTGCCCTGCAGCCCTGGCAGCACCGCTCAGTTCTGGCAGAGCTCTTCGTCTCTGTGTCCCCTTGGAAGCAAGCTGGGAAGATGTGTTCCTCAAGTACTGTTACCACCCCTTGGCTACTACTCAGATGCAAGACCAAGCAAAGCAATTCAGTAGAAGTTAGATTGTCTATAGAATAACATCAGAAGGCCACAGTTTTGCTGAACGATCCCAAGATCTCAGTACTGCTAATGCATGGCCAGCTTCTCCAGCCCTCTCTGCTGGCATGCTGAGCACCCACATGTCTCATGTCCTATAGGTCCCCACTGACCCCATTGCAAACCCTGAGGCAGCGTGTCCATAACCAAGTGCAATCATTCAGTCTATGAGTCACAAGGGCACCGTTTGCTGCCGGGCCATTAAACATCATTAAGCATCCTCAAGGCAGGTGGCATCCCTTAGAGTGTAGCCAGTGGGACGTGACTCACCAGGGACCCGAGGGAACGGTGGGATGAGCACATGGCTCCCACAGCTATGAGCAGGAAAAGCAGGGAACTCAAAGTTGGCTCTTGCACCAGTCAGCCCTCCAAAGGAAGGAGCGTGGCTCACTTGGACAGCAGGAGGGGCTCAGCATCATGGGATGGGACAGTGGGGATGTCAAAAGACATGGGTGATAGAGCACAGACGTGATGCCCAAGCTCAGATCTCCAGCTACAGCACTTAGCTAGGAGGACCTTTGTGTCTATGAACTATGAATAACCTACTGTTTGAAGCATATAAAAAAAACCATGTGTCAACCCTCAGTTAATCCTTATGAGGCAAACAGAACTCTTTCCTTCCCCTAAACTCTACCCTGAGCCTCACAACGTGCAGCTGGGAGGGTTGCATCCTTCTACATATATGCTTGCGGCGCCCATCCTTTGACCTCCAGAAAGCCTGCTAACAAGAAGCTTGGGGGGTCCACTGCACTCCCACCCCCAATTCCCTCCCTGCTCACGGAGGCTCTGGGGAACCTTACATTTTCCTCAAGCTCACGGTATGCTTCAGCCGCCTCTTTCCCATCCTCCATGCTGAGATGCAGGGCACAGCCACTACTGCCCCAGCTCTGTCCTTGCAGTGACTCAGAGGCAGCTCTCTCCGTGGCATTTATGGCTCTCAATGCTTTGGCCGTGATTTCACTCAAAGCCTGAGCTGAGGACCTCTGTGAATGCCCAGTCAAAGTGCAGGAAGGGTTGAGAAACAAACAAGAAAAAGGATTTCATTATTTTAACGTGTGCTTGTAGTGTACAACTCAGTGCAAGTAGGCATGGAGGGGCATCAGGCTTATAGCAGCCAGTGGAAGATGGAGAAGGGATAATGAAGGGGCTTAAGGGCTCTTTAGTGGGGCTGAAAATGTGGCTGCCCAGGGAGTGGTGGGGGTCACCATCCCTGGAGGTGTTCCAGAGCCATGGAGATGTGGCACTGAGGGACGTGGTCAGTGGGCATGGCAGGGTGGGTTGGGGTTGGTCATCTTAGAGATCTTTTCCAACCTGAATATTCAATGATTCTCTTACCCTTTCTCCTGCCAGGTTGGCCCGTTGCGATGATGCACTGGAAAAGTGTGTAAGTATTGCACTGCCCCATTGCCAGAACCTAGGGCTGATATCTTTACCTCCCACACCTCAAGGAGCACTGACAGTTGTGATGCCTTTAAGTGCTCCCTGCGTTAGCCCTTTTGCTAGGCAAGTCATAAAGCACACGTATAAACAGACCCAAGAAACTCATCATCCCTCTCTCAGCTGATAATTCCCTAGAAACCAAGGAGATTGGGGTGATATGTGCACTGGAGACAAAGACAAACAGTTTTGTTTACCACTGCACGTATTTCCAGGCAAGCCACTCTGCAAAGAACCAGCTAACTCAGCCCAGCTGACACTTTTATCACTTTATGGTGCCCTCATGGTACAGCAGAGTTTCACGTTTCACACCACAAACGTTGCTTTTATCTGAGTGCTCCTCCATTAGAAACCTTTTTTCCCTGACTGGATGGGACTTGCATAGAAACCAACTGAAGATTACGTGAATTCCAGATCCAGGTCTGGATTTGGTCATGGAGATGCTGCTGGGTTTCATTAGGCTTTGTGCTCCCCGCTTCTGGATGTGCTCTGAACTCAGTTCTGATAACTGCAGCTCACTTATGTCAGAATGTCACTGGGTTTTCTCATGAGACATCTTTCAAACAAACCACGAGGCAGGTTGCTGTAAAAATAGGCACTGACACAGCCTTTAACCCAAACTCCTCCACCTGCACGTCACTGCAGTCACCTCTCACTCAGTATTATGGTATTTGTTGCCTTTGCTCTGAGTGTCATTGCAATGCAGAAGGCTGGATGTCTCTCTCAGCTTGGGAGCTGAACTGTGTAACCCCCCTGTGTTACCTGCCTGACCTTCACCTCTTTGTTTTGTGCTTATGGCCCTATTGGGGAATATGTGGGGGAAAAATGGGACTGCTGGTAGGTCTGGAAGAGACATTTCAAGATGCAGCAGGCAGCTGCCAAGGGCTGCCAATCCCAAATCATCACTGAGCTCTTCTCTTCCCAACAGGACCCTCTCCTCCATAGCATCCCTGTAATGGAATCCAGGCCCTGAAATAAGTGTGTAATACTCTACTGCATGGATGTGGATATGTTGCATCCCTTCCCACGACGGGCAGTAGTCTTTCAGACCTCTAAGAGAATTTATTTTCAACTCTTTGATCAGTCTAAGAGAGCCTACAAGTCTTCCTGAGGCGAAAGGTCTAGATCCAATACCCTGGGACTTTCCTATCCTGAGAGCTGGACTTGATCTGTGCGGGTCATCCTTTCCACTTTAGGATGCTCTACAGACAGCAGATCCAGACAAGCCACAGCTCTGGAGGCATCAAGCTGATGTGAGACAGAACAAGAGACCAGTTATGGTGCAAGTGAGGACACAGATTACCTTTCGAGCTTCACTGGCCATGTCATCACTTGAGGAGCTCATCTCAGGTCTCTTCACTCCCTTCCTCTCTTCACGCTCCTCTTCTTCAGAAGAGACTTCTCTGTCGCTGATGTTGCTGGTGAACTCCTCCAGCTTCCTCTTCAACTCCTCCTCCTCAACATCAGGATCAAGCTGGGACTCTGCGGCCGGAGACTGAAACAATAGAAGAAGTGAGTTGTTCATGCAGAATTTGATTTTTCCCATGGAAAATTGGAACAAAACATGAGGGATTAGGGACCAAAAACCACCACATTTTCATTTGTAGCCATGGTATGGCTGGCAGCTCCAAGGGCATAAATCCCCACCACCCAAAGGCAGTGCACCAGGCTGCAAGGAGCCCATTCCTTCAGCTGTGCTGAATCAGAGCCTCTCAATACTGATTTGTGATGAGAAAACACTCAGATTTACCAACAGGAACAGCAAATAGTTGTCCCCATTACAAATTTTGGGAAGAATAAGACATTACGTTGTTTCTCCCCCATGCCTGAGGGACTGCTCTGTAATTATTACTATCCATCCTACTGAGTCATTAGCAGCCAGAGCACCTCATTGCAATGGGTTCACATGAAGGAAAAGTACACAGCCTAAAATTAGAGACCCAAAAATCAATGTCAAGCGACCTATGCATTCACAGATTCTGCAGCCTCACCCAACTTTAACTTAATTTAGCTGTTTCCTTCAGAGTCTAATGGCATAGCAAGACAAGAGCAGCCCAGAAGAGATACAGAAGTCCTTCTTGACTCAGAGCTCTCATTTAAAACAACCAAATTGCTTTTCTATACGTACTGATTGATTCTCCTATGAGCACTCAATGGAGAATCAGAGTGAAACATGCTTTTCTTTATGCAGAAGAGGCCTGACACTAGCTTGCACAGGGACCCAAGTGTCCTAGGTAAGCTTGCCTTCATTTCTCTCCGACGATGCAACATCTTTGCTACCTGAATCAAGAGGAGTTAAGCCCCTTGGGGAGCTGGACCAAGCTTTTATTTTTTGCAGTCCCACTTTAGGGCTGCCCTTCCTCATCATGCTGCTTTTGGGGTGACCCAGGCTGCTGATTTCTCCCTGAAACCTCTCTGATAGTGAGGGGAAAGGGCCAGTGAAGCCCCCTCTCCCTCCCTGTTGCCCTGTTACCTCAGCAGAGCGCACCAGGATTTTTTCCTCCAAGCGGTTCAGCACGCGTTCAATCACTGACATGCGTTTGTTGAGCTCGTGAATCTAGAGGAAAGGAGAAAGAATAGAGAACAGACCAGCCACCATTGACAGGACAGTGGGAAAGGAGCTCAGGGTGCAAGCAACCAGCAGAAGTAAAAAAAAGAATCATAGAAACGCTAAGGTTGGAAAAGACCTCTAAGATCATCCAGTCCAACCATTGACCCATCCCCACCATCCTCACTAACCACATCCCTCAAAGCTAGAGACCAAGATACCAAAATATCACACTGTGTTGGGCATCAGAGAGTGAAGGACTGTTACCCTGGGCACCCTGAGGAGCTTCACGAGGTGCAGAACCTCTCCTCAAAACTCAAAGTGATGCTGCGTCCGTGAAGTCCCACCAGAGCATTGGGAGCTTCAGCATGGTGACCACAAAACCTTCCTACACTGGTCTTTTTCAACCAGCTCATCCACTTACCCCGTGATCCCCTGCTGAATACATCACTGGGAAAGGAAGGTGGAAGAAGGGAGGAGTTTCCCATGAAAAATTACAAATAGGAACACAAATCTGAAAGTTGTTCCCAACACACTTGGAAGTTTTTCTTGCTTCTCAATGCTTTGATCTGTCAGGATTCTCAACCCTCTTTTCCTCCTCCCCCTACCAGCTGAAAGGAGAGGAGGAATAAAGAGAAATAAAAATTCTGAAAGTCACAGGGAAATGGCTTTCTATGCTCAAGAGCCACGACAAATTTTTTTTTTTTTTGTGGTTAAATGACTGAAAGCATAAAAGGAACCTCTTCATTTTTCCTTCTTTCAGAAACGAATATTTTCTTCTTTTCAAGACCGGGCTTTCTCCTTTGATCCAAACAAATAAAACACAAATGATGTAAAATATTGCCCATTCCTTACAGATAAAACACTGCCTGCTGCATCACTCCTGCTCCGTGTGGCTGCCTCCCACTCAAAGGGGACGAGCAGCAAATGCAGTAAGTGAATGGAGCAACAAAGAGACGTGAGGGCTTTGCTTTGTTTTTGTAACATTTCCACCCTCTCGCTGAGTTTTTGTGCTGGCTGGTGTTTGATTAATTAGATCCTCACAACAGCCTGCATCTACTTAAGTGAAGATGGATGTAACAACCTGGCATTTGGGGAGAGCAAAGCGTTGCAATTACTGCCCTGAATTGAATGAGCCTTTAAGCAGCATTAAACCCACAGGCAGGAAGCAATCCACGCCAGCTCTAAGTGGTTTCTCAGTACCATCGGGCCTGACTCTTGCAGCACTCTGGTGACAATGAGAAGCCTGTGATGGACCATAAACTTCAGGAGAGGGGATGGATGTGAGCTCAGCACCCGGTGATGCCTGCATTTCCCGTAAGCAGCAGCTCAGAGAGGTCAGAGCACAATGCAGAAGTGGCTGTTGGCAGGTTACAGGGACAGGAAGAGCTGGTTTTCATTCTCCTACCTGAGCAAGGCTGGCTTTAGTGCCCAGTTATCCCTGTGCAAAGCAAGGTGCACCCCAATAGGGTGTATCCCATGAGGGGCTGGTCCACCTGCACTGCTCTCTGAACGACAAAGGATGGTGAATACATCTCTACTAAAACGCTTCAGATGAACCAACATCGGCTTATTTCTGTGCTCTGGCTTTCTCTTCCCTCTTGGCCTCTCGTGGGCAGCCATACCTGTGTTGCTGTGGGGTTAATGGGCCAGCACAGAGCCCTGTTTTCTCCTGCTGGGCAAGGGGCAGGCTCTGCTAGCTGTTGCTAGCTGTAAACCCATCAGCCACATAAAGGGCAGGAAGGATGAACAGCTAGTTAAGCTAATGAATGATGCTGGCATACAAACAAATGGGGTTGAATCGGGAATTAAGAGATGCCTTGTAACCATTAGGTGCCACCGATGCCATTGTGCTGTTGTGACAGAGCAAAACACCAAGCACACTGCTCCTACACCAGGGCTGGGAGAGGAGATGAAGGAAGTCATCTGGAGTAACGGTGGGAATTTGGCCCCATTTCCCCACTGTGCACATTTCATGCCTAACGTACTGTGGGCTCATTAAGAACAGCCAGGCTGAGCTTTTTCCATTTGCAGTGGGCTGGAAAACGAAGTGCATCCACCAATTTGAACATATGCTGAGAGAAATAAAGGCCATAGGAAAGATGTCCCCACGGTGGGGCACAGAACGTGGTGCTCAGCAGCACCCAAGATGTGCACAGCTGTCAGTGGAACCAGCACACTTCTCCCCTTGGATATCTGTGTGGTCAGACACCAACGTGCATTTTGCTGCTGAAGAGGGTCAGGGGAGGCTTAACCGTTCTCATCCTTTCTCAAAAGGTGATGTCAAGAACTGCAGGTCCTCACTTTACAATTAGAACAAGCGCACAGCCTTCCTGACACCCTTCTTCAGGCTGTTCCCCTATTATCACTTGGGAGAGATGCATGACAGGTCAGCCTGACCCTGTCCTACTGGGGCTGGAACGCTCCATGCTGGCAAAGAATAGGATCTCAAGGCTGATTAAACGTTCCCCTCCAAGCCTTGATCATAAAGGCCATTCACTTGATCAATGGGGACACCTAAAACTATAGGTAGCGTGTAGATTAATGGGGGCAGGCTGGAAATTAACAGCATTGAGAGCAGGCTTGTTACTGCACCAACCGCAGGTACAGTTTCTCCCAGCCACGACCATAGAAGTAGAAGGGCTGATGTGAGGAATACAGCATAATATTAATGGGACAAAGAAAAGCCTGATCTCTTCAGTGGATGAGCAGAAAACACACTTTCCCATGCCCCATCCTGACTTCCCATTTCATGGCCATCTCTGCATGGCCCAGAGGGCTGAGCACAGCCTGGGCATTCATCCACCTGGTGCCATGCAACCACTATGTGACACCAAGCAGATGTGACAGCCCTCCAGGCCACCCCACGAGCCTTGGTGGCACTGTTTGGTACCTGACTTCCCGAGTTGTGGCTGATGTTCTCCTGGGAGGAGGCTCTGCTCCGGCGTTTCAGGTGGTGAGGCAGGCAGGCAGCGAGCTTTGGAGCTCCCTTCACATCCTCATCAGAGGTGTCCATGTCTGCAGAGTAGGGGGACCGGGACTGCTCCATCCAGGGGCTGCCTTTGGAGGGAGAAGGCTTCAGTATGAGGACCCAAGAGATTCACAGCCCCTAGCACAAAGCCCTGGACGTCAGTCCCATCCCTCAGACAAAAAAATAAGCAGGTTAATTTAGTCCTTCTAGTGGAGTTGCAAGCAGAAGTTCAGCCTGCAGCTCCATCCATCTAAACAGAGTCCTGCTGAGCTACAGGAGGGCACAAGGAGCATTCTCCTCACCCCCTCAGATCTCAAGCAGTTGAGACCCTCAATAAAACCTGCTCCTGCCTCTTCAGTCACATTGCTGCCCAGGACACTGGTCCTCATTTAGTTTGGGTGCTGGGAACAGTTTATCCACATGGAGCATAAGTTATGAAAGCAGGGAGGGCATCTTCCCAAGGTGCAATGAGGGCTGGGAAGATCTCTTGGATGGCTCTTACAGGCACCTTTTCCTTAGCAGGATGCTGGAACCCAGACACCTACCAGACTTTGAACTTCTGTCCAGGCTCCTTCTGCGTGCATTGAGTGTGAGTCGAACCTCTGTGCTGAAGTGCTGCTCCGGAGGGCTGAGGTGCTGCTCCTGCTCTCTCAAGATGTGGAACACAGCTGCCAGGTCAGCCCCAGCTGGAAGAGGCTCTTGGGGGGCATCTTCAGCCGGGCCAGAGAAATCTGGGAAGGACTGAGAGACGGGGGCTGATGCTGGGACCACCCTCCCCACCTCCCCAAGCAGTTCCTAGCTTTGTCCCCCAACAGCTGCACAGGTTGACCCTTTGTAACGCTGATTTTAAGCAACCTGACTTACAGGGTTTTTAATCTTAAGGCTGAGCAATATTTCAGATGACTGCCAGGGGGCACTGTTAGTTTCTATGAGAGCTAGGCACGGGCCCATCTGCCAGGCTGACAAAGACTTGGGCCCCGAGATCCAGCCTTTAAAACATCACACACTTTGATTTGCAAACGTAGCAACAGCCATCTACTCCTCAATAACCAATACATGGACTTTGAATCAGCCCTCCTTATGCTTGCATTAAATTCCACAGCATAAGGGCAAAGCTTAAGTAAAGAATGTACGTATCTACTTAAAGAATGAATGAATCTGCCTGTTTGTCCCAAATCCTGTCTGTATTCTCCCAACCAGTTGGCACAAAGCAGTTGTTTGTGCAGTTTCTTGTGCCCCACGTTCTCTAATCTGACAGATGGGGACTTCCCACCCCTATGGCCGTGCAGGATTCCTCTTCTGAACCTCACACACGAAGCTGCCAGCAAACCACATCCCCAGTGCCACTGCATGGGGGAAAGCAGCCCCAAACTGGATGGGATGATGGAAGAGAAAGCTGTTTTCAACATTCCTTAAGTGCTGAACGTCCTGCTCCCAAAAACTGGCTGGAAGCTAGGATGTCCCACAGCCCTGGGAGAGCACGAGAAATAGCCAGCAAAGAGATCAACCCAAATCTGGAGGGAGAGGTGCAAGAGAGTCCTCACCGCAGCCAGCTCTCCTGCTTCTGACTCAGGGCTTGAAATGGAACAAGAAACAGCAGGGCTCTGCACAGAGATCAGCACCGCTGCTTCCCAAAGCCACCCTGTAACCCTACAGCCAGAACAGCAGGAGGAGGACAGGGAGAAAGGCAAGCCCAGTACCTGGAAAGCATCAGAGCTGATGGCCACTGGAGAGAGCTGGGCAGACTGGCGGCGAGACTGGGCAGAGTAGTCCGAGTCCAGCTCAAAATCAAAGGGGTGCACGGACAGCAGGCGCTTTGTCTTGCGCATCTTGGTGTGGAAAACGTGAGAAGGGAAAATTCATGGAAAAGCAGAAGGGGCCCTCGTCTGCTTAGTCTGTAGGAATCTGTTTGTGGGAAGCTCCCAGTATGGAAAGCTCCCACTTTTCCTGGAGAACACTGGGTTCTCAGGAGTATCTTGCTTGCAAGGAGCCAGTTACGTGGGACTGCTAGGACTGAACTCAAAGGTTTCCTTGGTCTCTGCACCAGGACTGTGGCCGTAAGCAGACAGCAAGATGCTCTGCTGGCAAGATTGCTCTGAAGGCAAGATGAGCAGCTGAACCCCTCAGAAAGAGGCTCAGGAGCTGCTCTTGGGGCCTGAAGCAGCTCCATACCTCCGATTCTGGGAGCAAACCTCCCCAGATATAGGAAAAGCCATGAGCTGGGCTAACATCAGGAAGCAGAGCAGAGAGCAGAACCCAGCCACCGCCACCCAAGGTAGGCTACAGGGCACCCAGAAGGGATGAGTGACTGCAGGGGAAGCCCTTACTCTGTTGTAGCACTCTGCTTCAGCTCCATGGAGCACATCATCCTCATCACCACTGTCGTCCCCAGTGCCACCATTGGCAGGGAGCTGGCATTCACCTGGAGGAGACAAGAGCATGGTGAGATTGGGCAGCTCCTGCACCCTGACCCTGGGGCAGGCAACCCCCTGCCCTGCTGTCCCCCCAGTGCACGTCAGAAAGTCTGATTCTGAAACACCTCCTTCAATTTTTATTATTTGGCATTCTGCACTGTGGCTCCTATGCAGTACAAATAAAAGGAAGGGGACAATGGAAAGAAAAGGAACAACAAAAAAATCCTCTTGAAAGAGCAAAATGTCCAATGGTGAGGTTGACCAAACCCTTCCTGCAAGAAGAACACAGCCTAAATCCACAAATTCAGTGCATTTGTTACGAACACAGCCAGCTTCGAGCACATGACATGGATGCACTGAGATCATGGTGAGTACTCACAAGCCACAAATCTGGCAGGCAACAAAAAGCCCTGTTGTTTCAGAGTCTGCCCTCAGAAGCCCCAATGGTGCTGCAGGGCAGAGGATGAGCAGTGAGGCTCCTTGTCCCAGCCACACCAAGCAGCCCTGAGGTCCCCGCAACCAGAGGGAGCAAAAAGAAAAACAGCAGCAACCTCCATCTGACTGCAAAACACACACTGCAGTTCTTTTTTTGACTTACTGTTGATGTCTGGCAGGCTGTAAACTCTGTCATGAAGACCTGAACAACAAGAAGAGAAAAAAAAAGGGGGGGGGGGGGAGATAAATAAGTGTTTTCTCTATGTAGCTTGCACAGAACAAGCCTCAGAGCAACGCTTAAACAGTTCTCAGTCTCCAGCCATCATAAGGCACAACCATCAAAGGCTCTTTGGAGAGAACAAAGCACTTGTGCTTGGAGACAGAGCTTAACTTGGAAGATCAAGCTGCATATTGGGCACAATATCTTCTCAGAAAGAGCAGTGATGCAGTGGCACAGCTGTCCAGAGAGTGCTGGGGTCACCATCCCTGGGGTATTCCATAACCATGGAGATGTGGTACTGAGGGACATGGGCAGTGGGTTGGGGTTGGACATAGGGATCTTAAGTCTTTTCCAACTGGAATGGTTCTGTGATTCTCTTATCCTTTTTAAATAGGAAAAGGAATCTCAGAAACGCACGCCACAGGAATTGTGCTGGTGCCAAGAAAGCAGACCAGCTGCAGAGGTGCCAATCACAGCTGGGCACACAAAACCTGGCACCGGTGGCAGAGCCGAGGTTCCAGGACAGTCTTTGAGCCTGGCAGTCAGTGCCACCTGCTGACAGAGGCTGCTGCACGCACAGCACCCAGGCTCAAAGCTCAGACCCTAAAATCCCAAGGACTCGGTGTGGCTGAGGCAGGTTCTGTGCCTGCTGGCTGTAGGTGCCAGAGACAGAGACGTGACAGCAGGGAGCTGAAGCTGCTCCATCTACCACGTGGCAAGCCTGCAGGCAACCAGCACACAGCCAGTTGTTAAGCAAACTCCTCAGCAAGCTACTTAAGTCAAGGTGAGGAAGTTAACCCCAGCTGAAGACAGAGCTTGGACATCCCACCCTGCTGTTTCATGGGTATCAGCGCTAAGTTCCCTGGCTGGCATCCCTTCGGATGCCTGCCCAGCAGAAACAGGTGCTTGTCCTCACCTAGAAGAGCTGAATTCCCCTTCTGCCCTGGCTGCAGCCTGCCGTAGAGGGACTGCAGCACCTTGGCACTTCCAAACCTCTTGAAACGGGACCGCACGTGCTCGTAGTACCACTCAAGGGAACCGATCTTCACCACCCTGCCCAGAGGAAAGCACATAGAGGTGAGGCAGCCTCACCAAAGCAAACCCTCACCTCGCTCCCACCCAGCAGAATGGTCACCCTTAGGGTATGGGAAGCAAGCAGAGCATGCAGAGAAAGGCAACCAGCACGAAGCTGTCCCTGTTCATCAGGAGGGAGTCGGACTAGGCGACCTTCAAAGGTCCCTTCAAAGGAACGATTCTAAGATGACAAACTGAGCGTGGGGCTGAGGCTGCAGAAACTCTCCATCCCGATGCCCCAGCACAGTGCCCATACCTGGAGAGGCGGCAGGGGTCACAGACCCAGCCCTGCTCCCTCTTGTTGTAGCGGCTGCAGCTCTTGCAGGTGTAGAAGCGACAATCCAGGCACTGCCGCTTGCTGTTCAGCAGGAACTTGAAGGGCTGCAGGCAGTGCACGCAGTGCGTTTCGTTCAGGTGGGACTGGTGGGTCAGGAACTCTCTCTTGCTGCTTTCCTGGTCTATCTTGCACTTCAGGTCCCTGCAGACGCATCCCAAAAACAGAGGGGCGTGCATTAGGTGGTGAAACAGCACCCAAGAGCAGCTCCCTCCTCTTCCCAGACCCAAACACCTGCAGTAACCCCAAGGAAATCAGTGCTACCACTCCGATTTTTACATCACTCTATCCATGAGCAGATCCTCCACCAACTGTTACGTTTTCATCCTTTCCCCAGCACGCAATATCACTTCAGTGAGCTCTGCAGCCTCTCTCACATGGCAAATCCAGCAACACTCCATCAGCCCAGGGAATGATTTTCCAGGGATCACCTCGAGTCCCACAGCTGGTGGAAACAGCTGCAGGGCAAATCTAATCCATAACCTATCATGGGGTAAATCTGTGCCCAGCTGAGCAGGGTAGCAGGCTCCACAATCATCTGCTGCTGCCACATTTCAGATCAGATTTAAAATCCTTTTTGCTGCATGGGGCATCTCTTTGCCACCAAACCTCAAAATGCATTTCAACCCAAACCTTTAGGGGATGGAGGCTTTACCCAAAGGCTTTCTGTTTGTTCTCTGTGCTAGCCCAGGTATGTTTGCCTTCTGGGCTATGGTTAACAAGATGGTGTTTGACTTGCATGAGGCCCTAGCAGGCTTGTTTTCCATCTGGGCAGGGTGAGGGAGATGCATTTTGCAGGGCAGAAATTGGCCAAGCCCAGAAAGCTCAAGCAACCAGGAGGCTTTGCACTGCATCTGGTCACCTGCACCACTGCAAAGCTTCCCTCTGGAGCTTCCTAATGGAGCAGCTTGCACTCACCACAGAACACAACACGTGAAAAATAAGCAGTAAGCTTACATGCAGCTACATAAAACAAACCCCAAAACACAGAACTCACCCAGCTGCAGGCTGTGGTAGCCTCATAAACCACCTTCTGAGCACGCAGGCCAAGAAAGCAGGTACTGCACAAACCCAAACTGCTGCCCTGATCTTAACCCCTGTGCCACAACAACATTCAGTCCGGAAGAGCAAACAGCAAAGAGCAAGGAAAAAGAAAGCTTCCCAGGGACACTTCTTGCCTTTGAACTCGTAGCACACTGCGTTCATCCATGGCTTCACCAAAAAGGGCTGCAGGTTTGGGTGCTGACCCCAAGCCGTGGGCTGCACCCAGGTTGCTTCCAGCAGGATCTGATCTTCCCCTGGACTGCCCTTTCTTGTTCTCAGAGCCAGTCAGACCCCTTCACATCCCCTCCCTCACCCTTGAGAGCTGCTAAAAGAAGGACAAGCCTCAGCCCAACCGGTTTAAAACCTGCATGTCTGTCCGTCCCATCAGCCCATCCTTGCGCTTCTCTGCTCAAAGTGAAGCAGCAGAAGGGATGTGGGGAGATGCCAGCTGCTCAGCCCCTAAAGCAGGGGGTTCTGGCAGCGAGCTTTATGGAAGGAGGCATTGAGATGCCCCGCAGAGGCTGCTCCTGAATTCCTCAAGCACATATTTGTGTGGTTTCTGGGGAGCTGAAGCCTTTGTCCAATTTGGGTGAATAGCTCCTGACAAAAAAAAAAACACAGAGAGGAGGCTGAAAGGGAAGAAAAAGACCAAGTGGGGGAACATTCCTTCAAGGCTCGCATGTTGAGACAGGTCCTGGGAACCAAGTGGGGATGGCCAGAGCAAAGGGAGCAGGATCAATGGGATTCTTCCATCATGTCCCAGCTTGTCACATGCAGAAAACGCTCGCGCATCCTCTTGTCCATCATGCAGGCACATGGCAGACTTGCCCAGCACACATGATGGCCTGGCTTTATAGAGATATCTGCTGTACCATAAGTCTATACCAGCTTTAGCTGGGCTGGTGAGCCTGCACACACACCTCTGGCTGGGTGACATGCTTGTACTGAAAGATGTTGGTGCTCAGGATGCCTGTGATGCAGGAGAGGTCAAAGCACACTCACCCATTTTCACAGAATGAATTTCAATCACGTTTATCGATTCCTGCTTGCACAAACCAGACAAACAGGACTTGCTATCCTGCCAGCAACAAAATGGGTTCCTCTCACTTGAGCTGACTTTGGAGCCAACCTTCCTGCTGCCTTCAGCTTTTGTTTGCAGGGCCAGCCCCTGCTCCAAAAAGCCACGTGCACCAGCAGCACCTTTCTTTGTGCTCAGAGCTCACCAAATATCTGTCTGTAAGCCTCAGCAGTGCCAGGCCCCACGGAGTTAATGCAGATCCTCTGTAGGGCAGGAAGCAGCTAATGGAGCAGAACAGGACATTTAAAGGTTGCAGCATTCCAGAAGCACCTCTGAGCTCTGCAGTGCTTGTCCAGATGGAAAGCTAAATATAAAAGCTATGAGTGCTGTGGCAGGGCATTGCAGCACTTTGCATCTCAGGTGGGAAGAAGAGGAGCACATAGGAATAAGCTGGGACCACAGGATAGCCCAGCTTTTCCCCTTATTCTTTAATTTTTCATTTTTTTTTCTTTATCCTACCTGAGTTTGGTGCTTTCCTCTGCCTCGTGCCAACCCTGATACTTTCCTCTTTGGAGGCTGACCCCAAGCTGCAGCTATGCTGACCCACAACCAGACAACACTCCCTATGGGATCCACACAGGGCACCCAATTAAGCCAGTCTGGCGCCAGGTCAAGTCAGTGAGAAATTCACATCACCCACTGCTTTGCTGAAGGGCAAAGCAATGTCTGTCCCCACCTCCCTCCTCCAGGCAAAGCACAGCTCTGTCACACAGGAGACACTTTCCCTTTCCAGTAATCACATGTTTTCCAGCACCCTTGTCTGATCTGCGTCCTGCTTCAGAGCTACCAGCTACAGGATAGTGATGATAGGGAATTCTCTCTGCCTCCCACACTGTAATCAGATATGTAATCAGCAGGCTCCAAAATTTCCAGCTCAGAGCTCGTTGGTGAATGGCACACCCCACCTGCCCTGCTCAGCATCCTTAGTGCAGGCAGTGAATAGCATCACTCAGCCCTCCAGATGGGTACAAGCAGAAATTGAGGCTGGGCAAGGGGCTCTTGTTCCTGGTTAATCGCTGCTAAGGTGCCTGGCCAGACCAACAGGGAGTTCTCAGAAGCACAAGGAAGCCCACTGCAGCCAGAGGAACCTGTTTTCCCACCAGCTGTCACTGTATCACTGAGCGCAATTAAAGCGCAGCGTCTCGCATGCCATAGAAAGGGAACTTTAAAACCCACTTGCTTCCCTCACCACTGAAAACAACGTTGTTTTCTTACACACTTGGGAAAACCCTACTTTAAATCCTTGCTTGGGCTGCAACAGTGCTGTTAAGCCCTTTCCTTTTCAGCGCGTGCATCAATTTGTAGTTCAGTGACTCTGTTTTATCCTAATCTCCCTGAAGTTACCCCAGAATGGCACAAGCTGCCACAGGGTGTATTTCAGCTTCCTGACAACTGCTGTACTCCCCTCAGTTATCTTCCAGTGGTCCTTCTGGAGTCCATAGGCTCCCAGGTCCCACTCCATTGCAGAGCATCGTTCACCTGGGGTTGGAACTAGAGGACCTTTAAGGTCCCTTCCAACCTAAGCCATCCTGTGATTCTGTTCTATGAAGTGTACGAGAGCTCCCAAAACAACACAGTGGCAGAAGACCCCAGAACTCCTTGGGAAATGGATCCCACCAGCCAGCAGGATGCACTGAGCGGGGCCAGATAGGCTGCCCCATCACCCACCCTGGTTTACTCTGACACAGCTGATAATCATTACATTTGGTTTACAGCCCTCTCCTCCTCGCCCACTGCTTTACCCATACCCAGCACGAGACAAAGGAGCCTATATCTCCCATTGGCAGGCACAGGTACTCACTCCAACCTCTCCTCCTCTTTCTTCCTCAGGTCGAAGTCACGCCGAACCACCTCCCAGACATGCTTGGCCTCCTCATCGGTCAGCTTGGAGAGATCCAGCTTCCTCCCCATCTTGCACGGCGAACCTAAGTGACAACCAGAGGCATTCCTATGGCCGGCCCCGTTACCCAACACACTGCTGGGCCCCACCTCCGTGACCGCCCCAAATAATGGGGCCGCGGGCAGGAAAGCTGGCTCCTGCCAGCCCCACACCTCATCCACCCAGCTGGGTTAAAGGAAGCATTGACTCACTGCCAAACCACTCAGTGTTGTGCAGGGAGTGTAGATCCAACCGGTCTTAAAGCACCTCCCCAAGGAAAGCAAGCATGGAGGCAGGGCATAAGCAAGGGCCAAGCATCCTGCCACCAGCACTGCTCTGTGCTGCACCTCACCTCGTAAAACCAGCAGCTTTAACGAGGGAAATGGGAACAGCTGGGTGCCCAAGCTATGCTGTCTGCCCTCCCAGCAATTTGGAGAATATGAACTGCACCGGGAGGCAAATAGCTTAATTAGCAGGCAGCACTCCCCTCATTTACTGTTATCAAGAGAAGATGGTTTAACAGGATTTAAAAAAAAAAAAAAAAAAAGCCTAACAAATGCTAAGCATGTCATGTACCTGGAGGAATATATTTAAATTGCAATAATCCAATTAGCAAAGCTGGTCTTGTTACTGTATTTGCCATTCGCCCTCTCGGTAAAACACTCCCTGTGCCTCCAAGTGAGAATTCCTGTATTACATATACCAAAAGAAGGACAGAATGAAAAAGAGAATGAAAAGAAGCCCTTTTCTTATCTTCATCAGAGAAGGAGGAAAACATTCTGCCCTAAAAAGGCTGGTTGCAGTAGGAGCAGCCAGCCCTGGAGGGCTTTGGCCACTCGGCTGCCGCGTTCTGTCCGTGTGGTGCAGGGAATTATCTCCCCCACTAACTCACTTGAAACAAGATTAGGCTAAACCCTACGGACAGAGCCAGAAAGGGATTTTTCAATCCAAACACGGATGGATTTTGTACAGAAAAAGTGATAATTACAGACGCTGGGTATCAGGAATGCGTGATCTTTGGATGCCCATACATTGATTTCCAGCCCCTCTTCCAGCAGAGATGCTGTCCTGGTGAAAGCAATTAGTTTTTTTGGCAGGGGTGAGATGTGAGCTGAGCCGTCCTTATGTAAGTATGTCTGCAAGCCTGTGCGCCCCAGTGCACCCAAACAGCACAGAGGGCTGATAGATCCCAATTAACATCATAACGAGACCCTGCTGGAGGACCTGCCAACTCAATTACCCAGTGCTTGGGATCGGAGTGGTGTGGGAGGCTTCCTGGATGTGGGCCCGTAGATGGCCATCAATTCCTAGTGTTTTGTCTCTTTGGGAACTGCATTCCTTATGGGAAGCTCTCCCCCAGCTCAGTGATATGGCTATGGGTACGGTTAAAACTGGGGCTCAGTCTGGGATTTTTGGCCTCGCCAGATAAGGAAAAGAGCAGTATTTTGGTGGCAGCTTCTTGAAGAGAAACATACCCTTGTGGAAGCAGGGCCAGCCCTGAGCATGTGCTGCTCTGCAGTCATCCCCGAGTCATGAGATCCCTCTGCTCTGTGGTTGCCCTCCATCAGCTCTTGGCACTCTTACAAAGACCCATTCTCACCCGCTCCCATCACGCTGGTGCAGAACAAGAAGGGCAGGGAAGGGTTGCAAAGTGTCCCTGCTATTTCTGTACATGGCCCATAAGGGTTTGATACGGGTTTTGTCTATTAATACGACTGTGAAATTCTGTTATAATTCTGTTATTGCGTGACCATATCTCATTTGGAGGCTACCAACAATCCCAGCAGCCTCCCCTAAAGAAAATGGCCATCAGATGGTAATTATCTTGGAAAATGATGTTCTGACATTGGTTGCAATTAGATAAACACAGTCACAGGATTAGGAAAGAATGTTTGCAGTGTCATCGTTAGGTTGGAAGCTGTATTTCATATAGGGGCATTTTTGCTGCACATGTAAACAAAGCAGATTCCAAATTCCTACAGATCCCTATAAATTCCACCACCTTTTTTTCCCCCAACTAATGCCTTCATAAGAAGAGAATCCCATCCTCTCACCTCGCTGGGAGAGCTCCCATCAGAAATTGATATTTGAACAGGAACAGCCCTCAAACTGTGGATTTCCTCTATTGATCGAGGCGAATTCGGTCCTATGGGAACGTCTCATTTGTGCTGATAAAAATGTAATTCTAACCACTGCCTGTGGAGAGGTGGTAAAATAGTTGGCAAAGGCTGTCGCTTGACAGCTCCCAGGAATTACCAAGGTAAACAGTAGCTGAACAAACAGGAGTTAATCACTTTCAGCTCAACGAGGTCACGTCAGACACAGGTGTTACAACCTGGCAGCAACACGATATGTTCAAGGCTAAAGGATTGTTTGGGGCTGAACTGAGTGCAGTAAGCAGGCACAAATCCCAGAGATGAGGTCTGAGAAACGCTTTTAAGGTCAGAGCCTGGAGCTGGGTGAAGTTCATCGCTCATTTTAGCATTAGTTGGGGAGTCATGCCAAAGACCAATGGTCCAACACACCTTATAGGTGTAATGCTCATAGGTTTGTCACACAGAGGGTGGTAACACAGTGGAACAGGTTGGCCAAGGAGGCTGTGGATGCCCCATCCCTGCAGGCATTCAAGGCCAGGCTGGATGTGGCTCTGGGCAGCCTGGTCTGCTGGTTGGAGACCCTGCATATAGCAGGGGGTTGAAACCAGATCACCATTGTGGTCCTTTTCAACTCAGGCCATTCCAGGATCCTATGATTGGGCCAACAGTACTTCAATGGGTCACAAAATCCAAGGTGAAGGCGGCTGCTCAGTGACAACAGTGCTGATCCCACATCTGGTAGTGTTTCACAAGGAGACCAAACCAAGCAGAGGACAGATAGATTTCTACCCTTTCCCCCTGAGGATCATCCTAACCCATCTTGGAGCACTGGGCTTTCATCCTTGTGCTCAAATACTCTTGATTTCAAGTAGTGTCCCAGAATAGCCTGATGATTGCAGAGGTGGAAGTCTTTACAAACAGCTCAGATATGGTATAAGGTCATGTTAACCTTGTCTTGAGGCAGAGGATGGACTGTCTGTACCATTCCACATTTCATTTCAGCAGACTATTCTCTTCTAGCTTGCAGGACACCCGAAGGCTCTTCACACCATTTTGACAATGAGGAACTGCAAGCTTTGCTGCGGTCATCAAAATGGAATAGTCTCAGAAAATGCACGAAAGGGGTAGTCTAGTAGTATCAGTGCATTTTCTTTTACTCTTTTATAATTTATATCACAACCAGGACTGCAACCCTGCAGCCGGGACTTGGTGTGACACTATCTGTATGGATAGCAGTGCTGGAGGATTTGCCAGTGGAAGCAGCTGGGCCCTGAGCACCTACAAAGATATGAAGGAGTTTACACTAATCAGGTAAGGACACCCAACTGGATGTTCTTGTTCAGACAATTACCAAGGTCAAAAATGAAACTGCATTCAGGCACGCAGACAGAGTTCTAGAAAGCTAATTGCCTGAGAAATGCAGGAGTCTGTGCATGTCTAGAGCGCTTGCTTTGGGCTGTCTGAAGGCACAGGCTGCTGCTGCTGAACCCATTTCTGCTTTGCTAGAGTCTCGAGGAGTTTCTCTGCCATGCTAAAAGCAAAGCTGGTACAGCTAAAAAGAAGCAGACCCCAAGCATCCATCCTTCATCACTCCAGTTTTCTGGGATAACCATGGGCACACTTGGCAGGAGTGGGGCAATGGGGCTGACTGCAAGAAGCAGAGCACTGGACTCAGCACGTAGGGTGGCTGACCCTGGGGAGGACATCCTTTGAGAAACCACCCTGGTGTTTATTCTGCAAGCTGGCACAATCTATGAGGAATGCATATCGCTAACTGAAGGCGTGATTGAATTCAGAAACAAAACAGAACCCCATCAAACAAACGACTTATTCCAACTCTGCCAGGAGGGAGATGAGTTTTTGAGTCATTAAGCAGAAAATGAGCCCGTTTGGCTCCCAGAGCTGTGACTTAGCAGTGTTTTGCATGGTCATGGCTGGGCCAAGGACACTTCCTCAGGAGGATGTACGAGCCCAGGTTTGGGTTTTCTACCTAGAGGACAATTCTGTAGGAGCCTGCATGCAATGAGGAATGATTTCAGGGCCACGGCTCAACCATTCATGGACTTGGAGGGCTGTCAGGGACCTCTAGGAGAAAACAAGCCCTTGTTGTTCCTGAGGGATGATTTGCACCCCGCCCTGGGTTACTCACGAGGAAGTAGGGGTGTAGTGGCAAGATAAGGCTCTGTGTGCAGTTAGATCCTGGTCCTGCCGGCGACGCTGATGAATGTGGTGTTGACATAAAAGCTAACCAAACACAGGCAGTGAAATCTCTAGCAAGGCAAGACCAGGATGTGTTGGTGCACCAACCTGGTGTTCCATGCTGGGACAACCTGCCCCTTTGCTAAGTCTTCCAAGATGATGCTCTTTCCTAATCCTCTCCAGCCAGGATTTTCCAAGGTCAGAACTTCCAATAGTTTGTTTTCCAAGAGAACATTCGATTACAAAGGGCCTTGTTTTGTTCCTTTTGGGCTCCAGTATCTTCATGGGGTGCTTTGTCCCAGTGGAGGCACTAGGGCCAGCCCAGCAGCACTGCGCTGTTGGCAAGCACCCTGGCACACCTCTGCCACCCACATCAGCTGCAGGTGTGTGCCCACACCGTGGGATGCTTTCAGACAATTGCTCTATTTGTTCTATGTAGATGTTGAAAGAAATAATTGTGTTTCTTTTCTTCTGCTGTTACTCCCCAGTAAACTGCTCCTGTGTGAGATAGCACTTTGCCATTCCCATACCTGACCAGGTGCTCAGAGATTTATCTGCCTTTAACCCAAGCAAGGGCACGAAGCAGGACAGCATGTTTTTGGCTGGCTGAAGACAATTGGGGCAGACACATGATGGGGTAAATGCTGGAAATGAGGACGCAGAACCCAAGAGATAGACACCTAGATATTGAACAATTAGCTGGGTGGTGCTTTTGGCTGCTCCCAAGCATCCATCTCCATCCCTGTCCTGACAGAACTGCTTGGCAGCACTCGAGCTGAGTGGGTTGGGTGCAGGATTTGTTTCCTCCACCTCTGAGCTGCAGCCTTTTTTCAGCCCACTGTCCTGCCCCAGGCTGTATTTTGAAGCTGCTGGGACTGGAGTTGTCCCCAGGCCCTCACGAAGCTCTCCCATTTGTTCCTCATCCTTATTTGAGACGTACCCTGCATTTTCTAGCCAGAAGGTGTCTAGCATTGACTCCCAGCCCTTGGGTTGCTGCTGTCCCTGTCAGACCCTGGAGGCAGAGAAAGG